TTCGCTGATGATGTAAAGCTGTTCAATACCACAGACAATACTGCTACCCTACAAAAAGATCTTGACTATGTATCAGAATGGTCAAACAAATGGCAACTTCAAATCTCAACAAATAAATGCTCTGTCTTACATATTGGCAAAAAAAATCAGAAAATAAAATACAAGCTGAATAGTCAAGATCTTGTTGATGACCCAAGCTCTGTAAAGGACCTGGAATACTCACCTCTAATGATCTAAGTGCTAGAGCCCACTGCAACTACATAGCCAAAAAGGCATTAAGAGTTGTTAACCTAATCCTACGTAGCTTTTTCTCTGGTAATATCACACTACTAACCAGAGCATACAAAACATTTGCTAGACCAATACTCGAATACAGTTCATCAGTCTGGAACCCACATTACGTATCTGATATTAGCACAATTGAGAAAGTCCAGAAATATTTCACAAGAAGAGTTCTCCACTCCTCTACTCGTTGTAGAATACCTTATGCCACCAGACTTGAAATTCTAGAACTAGAAAACCTTGAATTACGCCGTCTTCGGTCTGATTTAAGCATGGTATATAAAATCATACATTGCAATGTCCTACCTGTCAATGAATACTTCAGCTTCAACCATAACAACACAAGAGCACACAATAGATACAAACTCAAAGTTAACCGCACCAAACTTGATTGCAGGAAATACGACTTCAGCAATAGAGTGGTCAATGTCTGGAATACTCTACCCGACTCTGTAGTTTCTTCCCCAAACCCCAAAAACTTTAACCTTAGACTGTCTACTATTGACCTCACCCCTTTCCTAAGAGGTCTGTAGGGGGCGTGCATAAGCGCACCAACGTGCCTACCGTCCCTGTCCTATTGTTTCTCTTATTCTTCTTTTATTTTTCTTATATGTACCCATTTCATGTATTCACAACTATGTATACACTTATACTTATTATCTTGTAAACAATTGGCAAATCAAATAAATAAATAAATAAAATAAATAAATAAATAAATAAATAAATTTTCTCCTTTCAGTGGTCCATGAAAGTACATCTATAGTATGCAGATAATAAAGTCAAAAAAGGTGAACAACATTTTTACAGAACTATAGATAAGTTGAGACTGGGTGACAAGGAATGGCTGGGAGGGGAGGGGTCAGGTGAGGCACCCCTTGATGTGAGTGACGTTGAGTTGGCCACACCCACCTAGTCACATGACCACCAAGCCATACCCACTCAGTCACATGACCACCAAGCCAGACCCACCAAATAAGCCACACCCACAGAACCAGTAGTAAAAAAATTTGAATTCCACCACTGCCATGAACACCTACTAGGAGTTAGGTGACATGATGAAAACCCTTTCCACTGGGAAACTCTGATTATCCTAGACCAAGCCTGGTTCAAAAATGCTAGAGAATGCCTAGAAGCCTGGCAATCTGACAAACCAATAAAATAACAGATCTTCTTTCAAGTTCACTAACTTTAAACAATGATCTAATATCTGGGTAAAATACTTTGGGTGTCAGCTGGTGCTCCATTCAAAATCCAAGAAAGAAACACTTAGACTCCATTAATTAGAGAAAAGGTATCTTTTGCTGGAAATCAAGTGGTAGCATCAAAGGAATTCTGAATCTGAGGAACTGAGCGCAAAAATCACATATACAAAGTGATGGCAACGTTCCCACCCACACTAGTTCAAACTGTCGATCCAATTAAAATTTGTATGTAACATCATGTGGGCATCTTCAGGTGGTGATGAGGCTTCTGTCCATTGACCTTGGCCTATTTTGATGAAGAGGTGTGCTTGCGCATAGCATAGGAAAGAAGCATAACAAGAAACTCCCCCCCCAACTTATACAGTTTATTCTCTCAAACCTCCATCTCGCTTCCCATAACTATTTCACCCCTCCTCCCCCTGTTACTTATGACAGCCGAAAGATATAAAGTAAAGGAAAGAAATCTTGAAGGTTGACATTGGATCTTATCATCATGAAGTGGAAAAGAAGAAAAAAAAACAGGAGGAAAAACATGAAAACTTTATAACGAATGTGCTTCCAGTCTTCCTAACAGAAGTAGCATGTAAATTTATAATGTAAATATACATTGTTCTCTCTATTCATAGAGGATTTATAAACCATTCCCCATTTGTACAATCAGAAGTCAAAAAAGAATCTTCAAATGCCTTTGTTCTCATGGCTTTCACTATTTAATGCAGTCTGGAAGAGAAAAGAATTGCAAATCTCCAAAGTAAGAACTTCAAAGCAAATCCGTATTATGAAGAAGAGTGGACTGATAAAAAGGAAGATTTCATATAGTTTGATCATTGTTTGATCCAATAGTTGATCATTGAGATTTATAAAGAAAGTGTTTGAGAATGGACACACTGCTTGATGTTGTGACAAATATGTTTTATCTTAAGAATATATGGGGATTTTGAGATGAAAGATATTAAAATAGCAATAGCACTTAGCCTTACAGATTATATTGTTTCATAGAGCTTTACAGCAGTCTCTAAGTCAGGGGTGCCAAACCTACATTGTTACAGCAGCATCACGTGAGATATTGGGACTTTTCCCCCCTTTGCTAAATCAAGTGTGGGCATGGCCAGTGCATGACGCATCCAACACGTGGGCCCCAAGTTTAACAGCCCTGGTCTAAGTGGTTTACAACATCAGCATATTGCCCCCAACAATCTGGTTCTTTATTTCACTGACCTCAGATATATTAAATGAAATATTTTATTTTTAGAAAGAAAGTTCACTGGAAAATATTTGCAACAGGTTATTTTGAAGTTAAAAGAAAGTTAAAAAATCACCACCTCATTGGGGAACAAAGGAACTGGGTGGATGAACGCTCTGTATTTTTGTAGTGTATGCTGAACTTACAGGATTATTCATGCTTTTCTAAGGATCCAGGAAACCATCTTAAAGCTTATTGGCGGACTTAATAAAATTCATTCTAATAGGGAGCATCACAAACTCTCCTTCATGCTCTTGGAGGAAAGTTGGGGTGAATCTTCAAGAAAAAAAACACAAGTGAAAAATCAATCAGAATAACCAATGTATCTCCCATGGACTAATATTGCATTTCATATCAACAAGTTTTTCAAAATAATAAGGAATTCCTAGAGCATTACCCCCAAAGGCTCCTTTGAGTTTTATTGTGCTCAATGATTTCCTACAGAGATATCTTTGGAAAACATAGATATTTCAGACAAATTATTTGGTTTTGGAAGAATCCCATGGGTAATGATTAAGTGTAGAGAAATAATCATATATATATGTCTTTTATGTAGTATATTATTAAAAAAGTAAGAGGATGGTTGTCTCAAATGATATAACTTGGAAACAAGATAATAGCTCTAAACCTACCATTTTGCAGAGGTAACTATTGACAATTAAGTGAAATGACTATAATTGATAATTTATGACCCAGCTCCAGCAGCTTTCCCCAAGATATTGAGAAATTACTCAAAAGTCTGACTGGAAGAGGTTATAAAACCTGTAGTTGAAGGAAAAGAGGCAGGCAGGATCTTCTCCCTTTAAATTTTGCTGTTGATTTCCATTGATTGGAGTATCCTTGTCCATCAAAGTATGCTTTGATGTCAACCAATTGCATGAGAAAACTGATATCATTATGTGCATTTGCCTAACGTTTTCCTAGATTTTGTACCTGATGGAAAATAGGCTCACCAAATGAAGTGGAGAGGTGCAAGTAAGCCTCCTCTAGAGAAAATGTTGAGAGTAATGGTCATACTGTGGTTGCTGGTTGACATGAAGTTCCAGATAGATGCCTCATCTTGCCCCAGAAGTAATTTCTTTCCTATCCTTCATGAATGGTATCAACCAGGAAATCTCGTCATTGGTGGAATCACAGCTCAGATTGTATATGTACTGGAGGAACATTTCTTTGAAGAGCATCCTTCACAGAAGTCATTTATGCCACCTCTGTAAGAAATTATCTTTTCCTTGATTTCTGCATGTGCTTTTAAGACTGCAAAACTCAAAAGAGTTTCAAGCGTGTTTCGTAAATTAAGCAGAGAATATTACAAGGATCCACACTACGTTTTTACCAGCCTTATTCCTAATCACAGTTTCCAAAGCATAGATTTTTTTTAGCGAAACCCTAAAAGATTCTTTTGGAATCTTAAGGACCACCATTTTTATTATTGCATATTTTTCTATGGCTAGATTGACTAAACTATAAAATCTTATACAATAGTACAATAGTTTGTTAACAGGGGAATCTTTTCATGAATATGGCAATAGATCTGGTTTTGGGCATGATAGTGACTGATTGGTTGTTGAATCAGCCCTTGCATAAAATTACCAAACACCTTCTTGACAATATTGCAAGTACAGAGCAGTGCCATTTGGGTAGTGCTTAACCACATTTCTGCCCTGGAACCTCCAGTTCCTTTCTTGTACTCAAATTTGCTGTGCCACCAGGTTCTCATTTTCCACATCAAAGATTGCCAATAGAATATTTATGAATCACCTTTGCTCTCTCCTGCTGCAGAGGTCATCTTGCATCTTGGAAAAATCTATGCATGGTTACAAAGTCAGAGATTTCATTCCTACGCATAGGAATTATCTCAGAGAATCCAATCAGGCTTCAACTGGACCTTGTATTATTAACAATAAGAAATGTAATAATCTGTCTGTGTTTTAGTCTAAAGTTTATTTCCACATCATATTATTTTTTTCTGCAAGCTAGTCCCATTGTAGACATGTTTCATGATGTATCAAATGTTCCTCACTGGTCTTTGCCTATCACAATGTAATGCCTATCACAATGTGCAAAATTCATATTGTTACTCTTAACTTCACCAAATGTATTCTACTTGCATCAATCCATCTCTGTTTCACTTATCCCCAAATACATTTTCAGAGCCGTTTTAAAGTTGTATCAGCATTCCCTGAGTTTGGCATTTGCTGTGAAACAGATCAACTCAAATCCAAGACTCTTGTCTAATGCTACTCTGGGATTTTTCATCTCTGACAACTATTTTGATGCCCGGCTTACTTACCTTTCCACTTTGGAGCTGCTCTTCCGATCAGATCAGTTGGTTGCCAACTACAAATGTGATATCAAGGAGAATCTCATTGTGGCCATTATTGGAGGATTTGGTGCTGATATCTCATTCTTCATGTCAGATATCATAAGTCCTTATAAAATCCCACAGGTAAGATATAGGTATTGCAATTTATAACAACCCATCTATATATGGTAAAATTGAAGGAAATAGGAAAAAAAATCTTTTTCAGTAGATTAGGTTTTAATGATGCATTAAGAGAGTCCAATGACATTTCAGAGTTGGATTTAAGCTATATTTGATGCATTGCACTGGAAAATAGTGTGTTAAAAGTTGATATTCGAAAATGGGGGCAGAAGCTGAGAGCTAAGTTCACCCTCAACCATGGATGTATCTATCAGTATCTCCCAGTCAAGCCTATGGGGTTGTTCAGAGTGTTTTGTACATCCTCTTATGCACCTGAAGAAAGACAGGGCATATATTTAACAAAATTAAGTGAGGCAGCATTCCATTTGTTTTGCATTTAGTTCATAGCAATCATAATGGTTAAGGTTGTGTGTTAGGAATATAAGTCATCTAACAGGTATTTGGGTTAGAAATATATAAACCAGGACAAACATTTTAGTACTATATCTTTAAGGGAATGCAAGAGCATGCAATTGGGTGTGGTTTCTCAAATAGCCATAAGATGGAGCCAGAAACCTGGGTTGTTTAGTCTGAGTCTCAGAAGAGAGTCTGAGTGTATCTCTGTTTCCTTCTGTTGGAAAGTATTGCTGTTGCTCCATTTCTTCTAATTGACTGATATTACTGGATTTAATGTAAGTCTGATACTGAACTGTTTTTGACACTGGAATTTGATATTTGGATTATCCCTGGATGAAAACTGACTGATTTTACCTGTGAATGATTTTGGACTGCTTATCTTGAACTTTGCTTAAACTGTCTGGAAGTAAAAACCTACATTTACTGTACTGTGTATCTGTGTGCTGTATGTGTATTATTCAAACACTACTCTCAAATACGTCTCTCTGTATGCGCTCATTCTCCTAACGGGGAATTACCTCAACATTGTGTATAGAATTAAAAATGGAAGCCTACCTAAGAAAATAGCTTGGAAAAATCTGAATGTTCTTTAAAAATGTATTTCTCAAGTTAGTTGAGACATCCCAACTATTAGAACCAACTGCACAATTTATTGTCCCAAAGGTGCTTTTTCAAGAGGCAACTGTTGAGAGAGTGCTGTTCAATTTTGACATAGATGGCCATTTTGATCCCCCTTTCAAATCAGCTCTCCTCTCTGTCTGAAATTGAACTTTGCTGTCTTCAAATGAGTGGTATTTTCTTTAAATGCAGATGAAATGCTGAATCTTGTCCTGATGGGTTTGTTTTCATATAGCATATAACCTGAACAATGTGATATATACAGTAAAATGAAGTGAGCTGTGCAGATTTATACACTGGGGAAACAAAACAACCACTTCATAACCTCATGGTACAACATAGGAGAATAAACCCATCAGGGCAAGAGTCAGCAGTTCATCTACATTTGAAAGACAAAGGCCACTCTTTTGAAGATAGCAAAGTCCCATTTTGGACTGAGAGGATCTCTGGTTTAAAAGAGGGGTCAAACAGGCCATCTATGTCAAAACTGAACAGCCTTCCCTCAACACAGGGGGAGGAATATGGCATCATCTATCTCCAGTCTACAACCCAGACTTTCAGCAGTTCCAAGAAGACTCCACATCCATTTGCACTATTCAAGTGACCCTGAGGACACAGGTAAATCTCTAAGTGCCCTCAACAAGTCCCCAAAAGAATGCAAATGACCAGCTGTCTGCAAAGGATATAAATCCTTCCATTCCCCACCATCCAATCAGAGCTGAGGAAGCTTGTTGGAAAAGAAGTGAAATGTCTTCAACCAAAAACAAGAAAGTCCATTTGCCTCTTGAAAAATCACCTTTGGTTTAAGAAGAAGTTCAGTTCTTCTTTCAATTTATTAGTGTATTCTTCTTCTTTTATTAAGTGAGTGTTAAGAGTCCATCTTCTTTTTGGTTTTCTTCTACCTCTCCAGGTTATTTGAATTGGGTTGTGATCAGCCCAGTCGTTTGGTAAGATTTCGCTATCTTTGATTTCATTAATTAATTCACCATTTATCCAAGCCATATCTATTCTTGTCCAAATTTTGTGTGGGTTAGAGTAAAAGGTAAACTGTTCTTTTTTTGGGTTTAGTTTTCTCCAAATATCTACCAGATTCAGTTCGTACATCATATCCTTACATGGCTTCGAAAATTCTCTTTTTCCTTTTTTATTCTTACTCATGTTACTATGATCCTTCCGGTAGTCAGCAATAGAGTTAAAATCGCCAATCAGAAAAATATTGCCATTTCCGAAATCTATTATTTTTTGGTGAAGATGTTTGAAAAATTTACCTTGATCATCATTTGGGGCATAGATTACTACCAGTAAAAATGTAATGCCATTAATCGAAGTTTGTACCACCAGGGTTCTTCCTTCAGGATCCGCCCAGATTAACTCCGCTTTTAAATCATCTCTCACATATATTGCAATACCTTTCTTTTTGTGCTCATCTGCTGGTGCTGTGAATAATTTTCCCAGTTTCGGACAATCTAGAAATTTCTCCTCACTTTTCCTAATGTGTGTTTCTTGTATGCAAACTATATCAATGTTTTGTTTTATTAGTTTATTTAGAATCCTCTTCCTTTTAGCTCTTGAATTTAGGCCGTTTATGTTGATGGAAAGGATTTTACTTCCTTCCTCCATTTACTTAAGTCTGCCTCGCTTTTTGTCTCGTAATTATACGGCTCTCTTCTTGTAGGAGGTATGGGGATGTTTCTACTCTTTCTTGTTGTAAGTTGTCTTTTCCTTGAGTTTGGACGGGTCTTTCTTCCTTGTTCCTATGGCGGTTCCGATCTTCCTGCATGTTCCCTTGGGTTTCCTCCTTAGTGTGTTGATCCTCCGTGGTTGTTAGCTGTTCTAGAAAGTCTTGTGCTTGTTCTATTGAATCTATTTTAATTTTCCTTCCCTTCCACCATATTAGCATCCCTTCTGGAATTTGCCATTTAAATGAAATTTCTTTTTTATTTAAGTGGTTAGCTAAAAATTTATATTCTTGCCTTAAGGCCCTCACTTTTCTTGGAATCTGCTTGAGAACTATGATCTCTTTGCCCATATATAATACTCTCTCATCTCTGGCCATTCTAAGTATTAGGTCTCTCACGCATCTTCTTGAAAAGCGGATATGGATCTCCCTTGGGCACTTGTGACGCCTTGCGTAACTGGTATTCACCCTATAGACTTCGTCGAATTCTTTGAGTAAGTCATCTTTTTCTTTTCCAACTAGATCAGCCAACAAACCTGCCATTAATTGCGCTAGTTCTTCATTTTTGGATTCCTCCACGTTTTGGAACCTTAGGTATGCCGCTGCTCTGTCCATCTCAAGTTGGACCAAGGAATCTTCCATTTCTCTATTAATACTTTTAAAGCCTTCTTCAGTCCTTTCTAGATTCCTCTCCGCTCGTTCTGTCCTCCTCTCTATTTCTTTTATTTTTATTTCAGTTCTTTCCATAGCCAATTGCATTGTCCCCACCTTATCTTCGACTTTTTGTATATCTGCTCTCATCTCCTCTTTTAATTTCCCCATTTCTTCCTTCAGTTCGCTAATATCGGCTCTGGTCTCATTGTGATTCCTAATCATAATCTCCTGCATTCTAGACATTGACTCTTGCAGGGATAATAGTGTCGCTTGCAGATTGGCATTAGTGACGGTCGGTTGTTTTTCTCCTGTCAAGGTCTCTTCTATAGTTTTCTGCGTTGTTGGGGAGGCAGTTGCCAAAGTTGTCGTCAAGGTCTGGGTGTTCTTCCTTCCCGTTTTCAGGGCCGTGGTTGTTGTGGAAGTCATCTCTGATAAGATTTGTTTTTGCAATTGGATAATGTTAAGAATATTTTCCCAAATCACCATTCGATGTAATAGCCCTTTAAATGTGATTGCAAGTCTATTTACTAAGCTTACACACCAAGTTATTTTAGATCTCTTTCTTCGACCCAATTTGTCGCTTAGGCAGTTTAAATTCCAATTCAATAAAGTGTTATCACATACTATAAATAGAATATTATCAAATATTATATATTAAGTATTATATATTGTTCTCTATACTAAGTTCATATACCAAAATTCATTAATTATATTTAACCCCTAATAAATCAATATCATATCAAATCAAACTTATTTACAGCTAACAAACAACTCTAAAATTTCTCACTCTATATATACCTTTGTCCTATAATGTAATTAATATTCAAGGTTCCAGTTAATCTAAGTCAACCCAATTTAACAGACCTTCCAATTTTTGTATATTCAAAAGACTCTAATCAGTAAACCCTAATAACAATAATAAGCAGTTTGCCTTTACATCTATATTTATAATTGTTATAGAGAGAAAGGAAAGACTAAGAGAGAAAGGGAGAGAGAAAGGGTGCGGGAAGAGAAGGGTCTTTTAGATTTCAGGGAATCACTAGACACGTATCTGTGGGATTAGTTCCATAGAAAAACAAGTCTGAGTTGGGGCTAGTGTTATAGTCTTATAGCCTTATAGGCGCACCGAAGGAGCAGAGGGAGGAAGTGCTGACTAATTGCTGTCAGCACTCAGCATTCAGTCTTTACCAGTCTTTACCAGGATTCTGTCTGTCTCTTCCTTCTTCTTTTTCCCTCTTCTTCCTTTCTGTCAGCAATTGTCAGTCCACAATCACTTTGAGTGTCCGCCTCAAATCGATCCCTTTTAGAAATCAGTTTTGTAGGCAGTGTAGCTATAAGGAAGAGGACCTTACATATAAAAGTCAGTGCGTCACTATCTCGCCCTCTGCAGCTCGCTCTGCCCTCCTTCGCAGCTATAGTTCTCCCCTAGTCTTCTAGTCTTCTCAGGTGCTGATCCCAGATGGCAATCCACTCCCGAGCTTCTTAAAGATCCCACCACCTTCCTCTCTCCTCGACAATCTTCTTCCAAACGCTCCAATCCACACTTTCATTTTAAATGTTGAGCCATTCTGTCTGCATTAATCCCCCTTTCACTTTTCGAATCGCTTTTCTAGCCGCTTGTCTCCAGCTTTCCCCCACTGTTACTCACAATGAAAGAGGGAGAGTCAGACCAATCTCACTCACGGCTTTTGTAGTCCTTCTGCCCTTTTCAGCTCGGATCTTTCAGGCTGTCACTTTTCGCTTCGTCAGTTCAGTGACAGACCGGACTTTGGAGCCGCCATTAGCTGGTGGCTGGCTCAATCGCGCTGGTCTTAGAGGCTCTTCCTTCGTTGCTGGGGAGTTGCCTTCCCCCAAACAGCAACCCGGGGGTCCTCTTTTCTGACACGAAGCTCTACGGGTTTCGTGTATCCACTGGGGATCCCTCCAAACGCGAGAAGAGGTGATCGAAAGCCACAGCTGGGCTTCTCCACCTCTGGACGTCCCTGTCCTGCCACCGGAAGAAGAAAATAATAATGAACTAACTTCGAAACAAAATATATGGGACACAATGAAGGCATTTATAAGAGGAACAACTATCTCTTACAATGCTATGAGAAATAAAAGAAAGTATGCCCAACAAAGTAACTTACAACAAGAAATTAAGGATTTAGAAACCCAACTACAAAAGAACCCCAAAAATCAAAGAATACAGAATCAGTTAATAACAACTAAACACAATCTAAATTTATTGGAACAAGAAAAATTGGAGAGTAGTCTGAAAATGACTAAACAAATTTATTTTGAGCACGCAAACAAGCCAGGGAGATGGTTAGCCCACAAACTTAAGAAAATGAAAGAAAAAAGATTGATACACCAATTAATGGACGAGAGGGGCAATTTGCAAGAGGAGATAGAGAAGAAAAAAGAGATCACTTTTAAATACGTCAGGAAATTATACAAAAAGGAAGACGTTTGTGAGGACAAAATAATGAAATATCTAGAGGAAGCAAACGAAAAAGCAATTGGAGAGGAAGAGATAGAATTATTAAACAAAAATATAACATGGTCCGAACTGAAGTCAGCAATAGAGAAGCAAAGTAACAATAAAGCGCCAGGACCGGACGGGATACCTGTAGAACTTTACAAAACAATCATAGAACAAATTGGACCACTGATGCTGGAAGTATTCAATGAGGTACTCCTAGCAGCCAAGATGCCGGACTCGTGGAGGGGAGCCTTAATTTCGCTGATCCCGAAGGAGGACCTAGACCATAGACTTATTAATAATTATAGACCAATCTCGCTCCTGAATGCAGATTACAAACTATTCTCTTCTATAATAGCTAATAGACTAAAACAGGTTCTAAACACACATATCCATGAAGATCAAAATGGATTTCTCCCATTTCGACAAATTAAGAATAATCTAAGAACAGTGATAGACATTTCAGAATACTACGAAGCCCATCCGGAAAAACAATTTGCTTTTATGTTTTTGGACGCTGAAAAAGCATTCGACAATTTAAATTGGCATTTTTTAATTCAAAAAATATACAATATGAACCTTGGCACTAGATTCGAAAACGTCATCACTACAATTTACCATACTCAACAGGCAAATATTCTAATAAATGGGGAACAAACTGACCCGATAAAAATAGAAAAAGGGGTTAGACAGGGTTGCCCTCTCTCTCCTCTGCTTTTCATATTCGCCCTAGAATCTCTTTTGACGTATATTAGGCAAAATTCGAGAATTAGAGGACTGAGGATTAAATCAGAAGAGTACAAAGTACAAGCCTTCGCTGATGATTTAGTTTTTTTTCTGGAGGAGCCTATAGAAAAAGGACATAACTTATTAGAAGAACTAGAACGATTTGGAGAAGTCGCAGGATTTAAAATTAATAGGGGTAAAACGAAATTAATGTCTAAAAATTTAACAGGAGACCAGAATAAAGAACTAGAGACAATAATGGGAATACAGGTGACAAAAAAAATTAAATACTTAGGAATTTGGCTTACTCCACAAAGCAAATCATTAAAAGAAAACAACTATGACAAACTTCTCCAACAATCCAAGAAAGATTTAGATTCCTGGAGTACATTACAACTTTCCTTATTGGGCAGGATTGCTCTGATTAAGATGAATATTCTGCCAAAATTTCTATATCTATTCCAGACAATTCCAATCAAATTAAATAAAAAATTTTTTATGGAATTAAACAAGATAACACTGAAATTTATTTGGCAGGGGAAAAAAGCTAGGATTAATGTAAAAGCCCTACAAGATTTGAAAAGCAGAGGAGGGTTAGGCCTGCCAAACTGGGAAGTATATTACAAGGCAGCCACCCTACTATGGATAAAGGAATGGGTGAATTTAACTAACAAAAGAACACTAATATTAGAAGGCCACGATATGCAGAAAGGATGGCATGCCTTTCTGTGGGAAACTGGGAAACCCAGGCAATCATATTTGCATAGGCATCTTATCAGGGACTCTCTATTAACCAATTGGAAAAAAGTACGTAAAAAACTTTATCTAAAAATACCGATTTGGCTATCTCCAATGGAAGCGATAGTACACCCTAATAATTTGGATATAACTAAAATGATTAAGTACGAAAATTTATTAGACCCACAAGGAAAATTGAAAACCCGACAAGAATTACAAGAGCGAGGATTTAAAATTGATCAGTGGGTGTACCTTCAAATTAAAAGTAGATATAAACAAGATATTAAGGAATTTGGAATCTACAATAAATTACAGACTTTAGACAAAATTCTATTAGGACCAAGGAAAAAAAAATATCTAAATTTTACAAACATTTATTAGAAACTGAATTAGAACAAGAAATTGTCAAAGGAAATATGATTGCGTGGAGCAGAAACGTGGGACGGAGCATTACGCTAGCAGAATGGGAAAGGATCTGGAACAGGAACATTAAGATCACGAAATCAGCAGCTTATAAAGAAAACGCATATAAAATGTTTTATAGATGGCACCTGCCCCCTTCGAGATTGGCGAAGATGCACCCCAACACGAGCCCCAATTGTTGGAAATGTCAAAGCATAGAAGGTACCTTCTTCCATTTGTGGTGGTCGTGCAAGGAAACCCAGAAGTACTGGCAAAAAATTAGGCGCTGGCTAGAGGAAATAACCAAGGAACAAATAGAGTACAAACCAGAGTCCTTCCTTCTAGGAATTTTCGATAAACAAATACCCAAAAAATCGAAGTATATTGTAATTCATATCTTAACCGCAGCCAGACTGGCATTTGCCCAGTGCTGGAAATTATCTTCCATTCCCTCTGAACATATGGTTATTCAGAAAATTTTACAATGCGCCGAAATGGACAAACTAACCCAAGCACTAAAAAATAAAGAATCCTCATCATATTACAACAATTGGAATCCTTTGTATAATTGGCTAAACCAAAGATAGATCATCTCTAGGAAAATTATGGCCGAGGGCCTCCGAAGCAGAGATAAAGAAAAGCACCGCCGATGATACTTTTGAAGAAGAAAGGATCTTACAGACAGTCACAAAATATGGTTTTATTTTAACTGTTTTCCCTACTCTATCCTTCCCCTCCCTTACTCTTCCCTTTCCCCTCTCTTAGGCTTTCCTCTCTCTCCCTCTTGGTCTATGCCAAGGCCTATTTTTCTTTTTGTTGTACATAATTTGTAGTTGTGTTGTTCTTTTAAAGGTAAAACTAATAAAGTATTTTTCCAAAAAAAGAAAAAAAAGAAAAATCACCTTTGGGATAACCATGACCTGGATGACTAAGAATCTCCCTAGACATTCTGCTCAATTTATTATAGCTCGCTTATGGCTCATTTGCTCCCAAGAAGCATGAATCAAAGATGGCTGCTTCCTTTTACCACATGGCTCCCAATGAAAGCCTTCAGATTGTGGGGATTATCCATTTGCTGAAGCATTTTGGATGGACCTGGGTTGGCCTTATAATTCTGGATGATGAGAGTGGAGACAATTTCCTCCAAGCCCTGGATCCACTTCTTTCTGAGAATAGGATCTGCTCTGCCTTCGTGGAGAGATTTCCTAAACAAGCATTTTTTTCTATATTTCAAAACACAATAGTGGAAAGGATATATGTATTTTTGATGGACACCAAAATCAATACATTCCTCTTGTATGGGGAAAGCACCACAGCAATGCTTCTGTTTATGTTCCTTAAATATGCCTATGCTCCGAAAATATATGGAAAAATGTGGATTCTAACAGCTCAAATGGATTTAACATTAACAAGCCTTCACCGACCCTCAGATCTGCAATTGTTTGATGGAGCAATTTCCTTTGCTATTCACTCCAACGAACTGCCAGGGTTCAATGAATTTCTCGGGGCCCTTAAACCATTCCAGACCCAACGAGATAGCTTGTTGAAAAAGCTCTGGGAACAAGGCTTTGACTGCATCTTTTCAGAGAGGAATAACCAAGTAAAAAATGATGAAGCATGTACTGGAAGAGAGGAACTGAACACCCTTCCCCAGCATTTATTTGAAATGACAGGCCATAGCTACAGTATCTACAATGCAGTCTATGCTGTATTTCATGCTGTTCATGGCATGAACTCATTTAAGTCTAAATACAAAAGAGTAAAAGAGAATAGAAGGGATGAACTTCAAGGTCAAGACACCTGGAAGGTAATAACTTGTGAATCAAAGTCCTTCATTGGCAGGAGCAGATTAGTAACATGTAAAGTTATTCTCAGTTTCTTCCTCTTGCTCAAATTAGCAAAGAGGAGGGGTGGGATTCTGCTGGTTCGTACCAGTTCAGGCAAACCTCTAGCTCCAAAGATCAGCTGGGAGCGATCCGGTGTGCTGTGATGATTGTGTGGGCCTGCCCAGGTACCTGCCTCTGCGCTGTACTGACTTTTATCATCCCAGTTGATCAGCACAGAACAACAGATTGTTCGATCTGGTGTGCTGTGATGATTGTGTGGGCCTGCCCAGGTACCTGCCTCTGCGGTGTACTGACTTTTATCATCCCAGTTGATCAGCACAGAACAACGGATTGCCACTCTCAGCTTTCTTATTCCCCCAAAATAACATAGCAGGTAAAGATTTTTGCATTGCTGTTCACGCATGCACAGTGCGCGATCACTGAACCGGTTGTAATACCAGCAGCATCCCATCCCTAGCGAAGAGGTAGTGTTGTGGTTCGCTGGCAGCCTGTTCAGATGGCAGTGGAATCAGACAGGGGGAAGAATGGGGACCAGTTTGGGAATTTGAAGAGGACTTGGACAAGGGTCCTGCATCTGATGCACAGACAGAGCCAGGACCATCTGGGAGTGGGATGCTGCCCACTGGCAGCATCAAGGCAGAGGACCCAGGGGAACCTGTTGCAGGGAAGGGACTTTATAGGTCATCTAATCAAAACCCCCACCCAAGTGGGAGACCCTACACCATTTCTGACAAATGACAGTTCAATCTCTTCTTGAAAACCTCCAGTGATGAAGCTCCCACAACTTCTAAATGCAACTTCTGTTCCATTGGTTGATTGTTCTCACTGTCAGAAAGTTTCTCCTTATTTCCAGGTTAAATCTTTCCTTGTTCAGTTTCCATCCATTATTCCTTGTCTGGCTTACAGGCACTTTAAAAAATAGCTTGACCCTTTCCTCTCTGGGGCAGCCCCTCAAATATCCTGTCTCCCTGGTCCTTCTCTTCACTAGACTAGCCATGCCCAGTTCCTGCAACCGTTCATTGTATGTTTTAGCCTCCAGTCCCCTAATCATCCTGGTTGCTCTTCCAGGTTCTTCCCAGTGTGTGTGTGCACAGAGTTGCTAGAAGGGCAGAGGAGCTGAAAAAAAGGGGCAACTCGGGAGTAAGGCTGGGAGGTGATTGCCCCTCTCATAAGGTATAAAAGACAGGCAAAGGTGACAAAACCTTTGCTGGAAGCAAAGTTGTTCGTTCTGTTCAGATTAATCCTTGAATCTCTGTACTTTGTACTTAGGTTGGTTTTTAATAATTCATTTGGCACTCTAGCTTTTGGCAGCAATTCAAAGGACAGAAAGGTGGGTGCTTATCTCGAAGGAACTGTTTGGGACTCATTACCAGCTGGGAATGAAAATAATCCCCAGCGCTGAAATAAAACAAGATTTGTTTTAACTAAGTGAGTGCTTAATTACGGGCTTGGGAAACCTTGGTCAGAACAGGTAGTGGCCTGGTTTTGGCAGACTGGTAGTGAAAATTTTGACTGGTTCAGGGAACTGTCAAATACCACCTCTGGCTGGTCCCCACCCCCCGCTCTTACCTCTCCTACCCCTCCTATATTCTGTTGTTTATTAGCTCATCTGATTTGCGTGGCAGAATGGATTGCCATGTCTCAGCTGAACTAAAAAAAAAACAGCACATCTCACCAGTGTTGGATACAGAGGGCAGTCTCTGAGGCCTTTATGCTCATGCAAAGTGTTAGGTGTTCCTGCACAGCTCACCAGCATTGATACAAAGGGCAGTGTTTAAGCCGTGTGCATGTGCACGCGAAGCAAGCTCTGCAAACTGGTAGGAATTTTTTTTGAAACAGGTGGCATCCATTACAAGCCAAAAGTATGTCAATATGGTACTATATACCAATGTTTGTTTCTCTCATAGAAGCCCATAACTGTGACATCTTCAACCTGTGATGGTTTAGTGATAATCCTACTTAAAATTAACTGATAAAATTCTAGATGTAATCCATTCTTTCCTCTTATTTCTTTCCTCTGCTTTTTATTTAGCTTCATGGGTTCCTTCAAGGCCTTTCGTTCAATAATTCACTTGGAGAAACTGTGTCCATCAACCACCATGGAGAAGTGCTTTCTGGATTTGATATTACAAATGTGGTCATGTTTCCAAACAACTCCTACCATAAAGTGAAAATTGGAAAGATGGAACCTAAAACACTTGCAGGAAACACATTTGTGATTCATGAACATTTCATTGTTTGGCACAAAGATTTTGAGCAGGTACACATTTTGTGGTATTTTATTATTTTGGATGAAAGATTTGGAGATCAGAGAGGAGTTTGATTGTACAGCCTACTTTCATTTCCTTTGCAAAGTAAAAATTAACTACTCTGTACTTTAAGTATTTTTTTTTCTTCCAGTTTGGGGATAATTATAATGGCAAAAAATTTGAAGGGAAGTCCCTCTTTTTCAAGAGGCAACTGGGCTTTCTTTATTTTTCCTTGAAGACATTTTGCTTCTCATCCAAGAAGCTTTTCAGTTCTGATCCAGTTCAGTCCAGAAACTTCTTGGGACAACCATGACAAGGATGACTGAGAATCTTCATAAATAAATTTATAAGGGAGTTAATGGTAGGAGAAGATGGGGAATTTGTAGAGCTTCTGACTTAATTGTATGAACGCTAATACAAAAAACAAGTAACTGACTCCAATATTATGATTGAAAGTCCATCAACTAGAACACAACCTAACTAGTGATTTTTTTTATTTGTTCCTGCTTGTACTACTAACACACACACACACACACACACACACACACACACACGGTATTTAGATTTCTTCAGGTATTTTCTCACATCTTAATAGTTGCGCTTTTAAAGTTTGACGAACTTTAAAAGTCTGACTCACAAATGAACACTATACAGAAGCCTGATGATGGCAGATGAGATTCTGCCGAAAAGTTGCTACAACTTTAAAAGCACAACTATAATGACATGGGAAAATACCCAAACAAAGCTGAATACCATACATGTAAGTACCTGTGAAAACTTAAGAAAACACACATAGATAGATAGATAGATAGATAGATAGATAGATAGATAGATAGATAGATAGATAGATAGACAGACAGACAGACAGACAGACAGATAGAGTCAGACTTTCACAGCCGTTTCTGTTTTAAATTTGGGGCTAGCCTACTGCTGTGCCAGAATAGTTTTTTCTTCATCCTGATTGGTTGGGAGTCTTGGTCTGTGTTTACTGGTCTTGGAGTTTGCTGTGTTCTGCTTGATTGGTGTTTCTAATATCTTCTGTCTGTTTTGTAGCTTTTTTGTCTTGATTGGCTGGCAACATTGTGTTTCCTGTATTGGAGGCTTTTAGTTTGGCTTGGCTCCGAGTAAATGGACGGCTATCATTTGTTAGGAAGCTAGGTTTCATCTGGGTGCCTGGTTGGGGTGTGTTGAAGCTGGAGGTATCGGGGGGGTCTGTTTGTGCCCAGGTGTTTGCCTGGCTTGTGGTGTGGAGATTTTTTTGTTTGTGAGTGCAGGCTTCCAAATAATTGACAGTCTGGTGGAGTCATCTCTTCTGTTCATGCTTTCAGGTCTTTTTTCAATCTCTATGGCTTCTCTGATAATTCCGTAGCTGGGGTTTTCTATAGTGGCTAGGGTTTTGGTGCCATTGAAGTCGATGCTATGACTTGTTGCTTTCATGTGTTGGACTAGTGAGGAAGTGTGTTCCAGCTTTTTTACTTCATTTTTGTGTTCATCCAGGCAGGTACTTATTCTTCTATTGGTCTGTCCAATGTATGTGGCAGGGCATGATGCACAGGGAACTTCATATATGCTTTGGTTTTTCAAGTCAATTTTATCTTTGTGTTTTTTTAGGATGGCTGCTATTTTTCTGTCTGTTTTGAAGGCAGTCTTGAAGTGATTCCTGTGTAGTATCTTAATGATTTTGTCCGTAGTACCTCTTATGTAGGGCAGGACAGATGTTCCATAGATCTGTTCATCTTCTAGGTCTCCATTATGTCTCAGTGTGTTTTTGTGGATCAGGCCAGTTATTTTGCTTTTGTGGAAGCCATTAGCTGTCAGTACTTTAGTCAGGGTGCATAGTTCAGTCTTTATGTGTGTCTTGTCTGCCAGGCGTTTGGTTCTGGCAATTAGTGTTTTGGCCACGGAGTTTATCTGTGCTGGGTGGTGGTGGGATTGAGCATTGAGGTAGCAGTTGGTGTATCCAAAGAAGAACAAACTGCACTACTTAACCTGAAAGAAGACACCAGCATAATAATCCCACAAGCAGACAAGGGCAACGCGACAGTGGTTATGAACACATCTGACTACCAAACTAAGTTAACCAACCTCCTCCAAGACCCCACATACAAACCCCTAAACATAGACCCCACCACCTACCTAGAAAAAACCACCAGATCCAAAATAAAAGCCTCCCCCATCAGTGAAGAAATCCAGCAAAGAATCATACCCAGAGAGAAATCATCCAGATGCCCTAAGCTTTATGGTCTCCCCAAGATACAAAAAGAAGGAACCCCACTTAGACCAATAGTCAGCTCCATAGGCTCACTTCTACAAAACCTAGGCAAATTTCTCACCAAACCACTACAGACCTATGCAGAATCCATCAACTCACATGTAAGAAACTCATTCCAGTTCATCGAGATCATAAAGAAATGAAACTTACAACCCAGCAACCTACTAGTGAGCGATGTCATATCCCTCTTCACCCAAGTGCCTATAAAAGAAGCCTTGACAGCCATCCAAAACAAATACAACTCCCCCAAGTACATCCTAGATCTGACCAACCACTGCCTATCCAATACATACTTCACCTACAATGGACAAAAATACAAACAACTAGAAGGAGCACCCATGGGATCCCCTCTCTCACCTGTCATCGCAAACCTCTACATGGAACACTTTGAAACACAAGCTCTAGAAAAATATGATCACAAACCCAAACTCTGGCTCAGATACGTAGATGACACCTTCATAATCTGGCCACACAGGAAAGAAAAACTGAACAACTTCCTCACACATCTCAACAGCCTACACCCCAAAATACAATTCACCATGGAAACAGAAGCTAACAATCAACTCCCCTTCCTAGATGTCTCAGTATACAAAAAATTCCAATGGCTCCCTAGGACACACCATCTACCAGAAGAAAACACATACAAACTGCTATCTACACACACTCTCTCACCACCACCCAATCAATTCCGTAGCCGAGACACTCATCTCCAGAACAAAATGCTTAGCCGACGAACAACACCTAAAAACTGAACTACACACTCTCACTAACGTACTAACAACCAATGGAATCCAAAAAGAAACCCCAACCAAAATCCAAGACAGAGAACAAGAGAATGGCAAAGCCCTCCTCCCACATGTAAAAGGCACTACAGACAAAATCAGCAAGATCCTCCAAAAACACAACATTAAAACAGCATTCTGCACAAACAGAAAAATATCCACCATCCTAAGAAATCCAAAAGACAAAATAGAGTTAGAAAGCCAAGGAGCATACGAAATCCCTTGCACCGCCTGCTTCACCACATACATTGGACAAACTAACAGAAGAATAAGTGCACGCATTGAAGAACACAAGAACTCAATCAAAAAGAAGAACCGACCTCTTCCCTACACATGTTCTTATGAAAAAGCCATCCAATCTGCAAACATCAACTCCATCAACCAATCAAGAAATGACA